TAACAAAATACACTGCGAAACTGGCGAGATATGATATCTGCAAGATATCAGTCTATCTGCAGATACATCGGTGGTTCGATCGTAATTGTTGACGGCGTTGCTTCGGGTCAAATAATTGTACTCGTTAAAATTATCTAGGCAGTATTCGACTAATAAACGCACGTTTCTGAGTACTTTAAGTACATATTTTATTTAAAAATTTAATTCACTCATTGGATTGTCGTTTACTGTTATACATGTATTTATTGTATAATGCAACAAAAGTAAACTTACAATCAAAAATTTATAGATTAATTTGAAAGTAATAGGATATTATTTAATAATTACTAATAGTTAGTTTAAATTCTTTAAATTAATAATATATAACTTATATTTTATATATAGATGTACAGTTTTCGATTGAAAATTGTTTCCAAATTTCTGTCTTGAAAGAAACAAATTTAAGGAAACTTAGAAGTCAAAGCGAAACATTAATGGACGTATTTAAACAAGATTTGATAATTCACTTCAGAACAATTTTCAAATATTTACTAATATTTTACAATCAAATATCTACTCAAATATCTATATTTTGATTAAAAAATATTTTTTTTCTTTAATTAAATGCTAATAAATAATTTCTAATAGATGTAATGGAAATTAAATCCGATTTGAAACAATATAAATATATTGTGCGTATATGCGTTTTTTGAGATCAATTATAGCCCTATATGCAAAGATCGAATTGAAATAAATCGATCATGCTGGACTCGTTATTCTGATCCCACTTAGGCCACATACCTATTCAGAAAGAAATTATTGTCTTCAGCTCAGTGAGCAAGTATGATCGATCGTGCAAGTACGAAACGTTTAAAGAGACGCCACGGAATAAATATAGATATGTATATAAATAGATAAGAGAAGCTTTAAAAGCTTACGGAAACAACAATGGACGAAAATACACCAAGCACCAAGTGGATTTATCGAGCTAGCGAATAATTTAATTGACTTACATACGTTAACATTAAAAAAAAAAACGGAAGAAAAAAGGTCAGAAATGACGTAAAAGAACTAGTTTCAACGAACTATATATCTGTTTTCATATAATATATCTATCTCTATATATATATATTTCTGCATATATAAGCTTTCTCTCTTCGCGTACTTTATAAAAATTATACACATAAGCTAAACGCAAACGGAATGATTTCGTATTTTTCTCCCTCCTTAAGTATTTCTCTTTCTTTTTTGTTTCGTGAATATGCTTAATAGCGATATAGCCTCTTGCAAAAGCGAAAGCTGTTGGTAAAATTTCACTGTTACGATCTACGAGACTGATCCTCGACTAGTACAACTGGATCCAATTGAAATTCAATACAGAATTTTACTCTATACGTAAAATGTTGATTTTAATCTAACGATTTTTAACTGGCCACTCTTAATAACTTCTATAATAGCTACATTAATAGCATCATTATAAAATCATTGTGCCGGTCCATTTGCAAAGATAAGATTTAACATATCTCTCTAGAGCAATTACGTACATCAATCGTGGACCGTTCTGCTAAGCAACTAATGATATAAAATGGTAAATTCGAATCCAGTCTTAAATTGTTGAGAATACTACCCCAATACCTCGACATCTCGTCCAATTCTAATGAGAATAATACTGACGTGACGTGGCGACCATTCGTATTCGCGTCCCCGCAAAGGATCATTAGGCATCCATTGTAATGATCGATGATTAAACGTAATGGAATATCCGAATGATGACTTGTCATCGTTCGGCCGTTCATTCGTTATTCCATAATGGACGATTCGCTCGTTGGATGTAAGCGCGGAAGTTATTAGCGGACCGCCTAATTACGCGTTTAAGATTCGGAACGCCCGGAGATAATAATTTGTTCACTGACGGTGCAATTACTTTAACTTACGGTCGACAATTGTAGTTGAAAGCTTCTGACATTCTCGTCTTTTTTTTTTAAAGAGGCATTACTATAGATACTATAATATATCGTTAATCGTTTGACTGTATATTGTTATTTTTATATATTATTAGAATAATTGGATCGTGTTAATTTTTCACAGAAAATTTGTACAAAAAGAAAACGCGCGCGCAAATTCCTCTTTCGATAAGTATTGTTCAATAAATAAATGTAGCGAAGTAATATTAAAGCGAACAAGGTTAAAAAAGGAACCGTTTTAAAGATTAATTATATATGACAATATTCTGTACAAATAAATTATACGCAAGAAATGATGCTAATAAGATAAATTAAGGAAGGTAGAAAATGAACGCCGGGCGTTCCAGTAAATATAACATTCTTTTAAATTGACTAAACTGATTATTGCGGTTAAGTAAATGAGTAGTAGCTACGAAATCATCAGTTGCAAATGAAATACGTAGAAGCCACAATAAATTGCTGTCACAGAAAAGAAAAGAAATGCAAGGGGAAAAAATAATCTGACTAGAACGGAGATAGTTCGACTTATAACTAACGATACTATTGTTGTAGACTAGAAAGTGCAAAACCCACTTGATTATAAACGCGAAAATGCAATGCCGCTTAAGCATGTATCTCCCGGCAAGATCGCGAACTGAATCCGAGTAGTCATAAGAAATCATGGAAGATACGGCTCACCTTGCAACCCCTTAAAAAACTACACTGGCATGCTGTATAGAATAATGCACGTGTCGACTCGCAACGATGCACGTGTAAATATTATGCTTGTATGATAGTCTCGCGAAATATAGAGTGGTCACCCATTATAAGGTCCACTTACGAAATATGTTACGAAAAGAATCCTACGTCTCTTTTTTTATGAAAAATCTTCCAGTCCTTCTCTGAAAAATCTTCCATACAAAAAGAATGATACTGCTAAAGTATCTAAAAATTTAGTTAAATACAAATCTGAAAATATTTATTACATTATCGAAATAATTATATAGAATGCTTCAGCTTGTTGTTAATATGTCAAAATGTTTTGTCTATGTTTGAATTTTGTACATAATAATTTTCATAATTCAACAAAATTTTTAGATCCGTATTTAATTAATTTTTTAATCTTTTGCAAAATCGTTCTTTCCGCAGTTATCAAAACGCTCGACTTAAGCGTTCCGGTAATTCATAAGATTAGTGTTGTTTCACATCAAGATCTTTTCAACGACCGTGGACCTTGTCGGAAAAATGAAGTATGCCGCATTCAATGGAACATGTTGAGAAGTTTGGCACTATCTTTAGTACTGCGTTGATTAGTATCAAAATTATTATTTAAAAAGTCCACTGTCTATCAATAAACTAGATGTGACGTAATATTGTAGGTATCTGTTTTTTTTCCGACAGAGATCCCGTCTTACAAATCTGAAGGATGTTTTCTTAACATTAAAGTATAAGTTATACGCTTACACATATTATAGACGATATTATGCCCTCTACGTTTCTATCAAGTTTTTATGAAAATAAATTAGCAGATAGCAGGCACCGTGTCTCTACCATCGTATATCGCTGTCACTTTGATCTCGATTGGTTGCTTTTTCATACTTTTTCTATTTTTACAGTTATGGCTAATTAGATACTATAGGAAATAACTATCTCAAAGTTTAAGTCGACGTACTTTTTGTGAAAAGTTGAAGTGTCCATACAGTTTTTGTCAGTTTAAATTTTGATATTACAATATAATCAGGTCGAATAATTACTATAATTAGTATAGATACTTGATTTTTACGTTTAACCGTGATTTTGAAATCTCGGTGGAAAATATACTTTTCATATTTGTATCTTCCAAATTCCAAAATTCACATTCCTTATCTTTCAAAATTAAAACTCGACTAAAATTAATGCCGAGATCAAAGTAACATTAATCTAAAATAAGTAACTTTTTTAAACTACAACCAAACAGTTTGGTCGACAAAGTATCAAAGAGTGCTCTGTCTTGTTTCTTTCATCCTGAAACGAAAACGTTGTTTCTTATGCTGGACAAATTGACAAAGAAGACAATCGAACTACTTATGAAATTATATACGAATAAAGGAAGCAATAAATTTATGGATGAATATAAATTTCACCACTATCTTTAAACCCTCCTTTGTTATACCTTACATTACCAAAATAGAAAATCCTAGAACTGAAAGAGATTCCCTTAGCACCTTTTTGTGAATCCTGTAACACTCGCAGGCTACCTATCACAGACCCACCAATCTTGAAAAAGCCGCAGGCAGTTTATTGGTCGAATCTTAAAAAAATATTGCCGTCGAAGGCATCGTAGCTATCCTTCCCTTTACTCTTTCTTCTCTTCCTGAGGGACAATCGCAGACCCAGACAAAAAAGATGATGTCGCAATACCAGTTAATTGGGATTCTGAGGTTTTCATCGTATACAAGGCAATGAATACTTTCCGAGAATTCGGAAAGTCAAACGGGATATACGACTTATACAATTCTGGAACGAGTATTGCGCATCAACTTTTGATTTCGACCATTAACCTTTCATTTCCTTTTTATCAAAATATTATTTCATCGGTCTAGCCGACGACAGCCGACTTGCACGAGTGCAAGCGGCGATCATATAACTGGTTCATTCTGTAAGGTACATTCACAACTAAACGTGATATGCGAGCGCCTTCCACTTTGATTGCGCTCTTTGATTTTGTTAATTCGTAGTAAGCTCGGAAAAAATTAACGAGCACATAGAATACAAAATAAAACTTCGTGTTTTGCAAGGGACATTATTATACGTAAACTTCCGCTGACATTCCCGTTTGCAATTGTCGATAAAGAATGAAGACTTTTTGAAACAAAAAAGGTACAGACTTACATAATATTTAGCTGATTAAACATTCCATTCCGAGCTGCCTATCAACACTTAAAAACTACCTCCGAAAATTCTCCGCTGACTGCAAAATTTCTCGTTTATATGCTTGAGCGAGAAAAGTTATGTAAGCGTAGGTCAAAAAAAGCAAACAATCTTGTTAAAGTTACTATTGTGATGAATAGGTTCTCGAAAACTAAGTACTTTGCCCCTGGCGACAATTTCATATGCGACAAAAGATATGTTCTGATATTCTTTAAAGCGTCTAGATGCGGCAATAGCAAACCGTTTTTTAATCCTCTTCGGAAGACACTTTAAAAAATTACAGAGTACTTTGATGTCGATGACAATCCTATAGTGTTCTGTTCATGTTACGTAAAACATTACGTAAACATTTAGACTGTCTTCTTAAAAAAAAAAGCGTGCCGCATCTATCGAATATTAATGTACATTTTTTCTTCATTTAATTTGCTAAACACCATTGAGAATTTCAACATCAAAGTCAAATCTGACACGACACTTTTTTGAATTTTGATAAATACAAGTATAAATAAAGTTTATGGAAATAATATATAGCCCTAAAGACAAAGTCGTAAAACGAACATTGAAAGTGTCGTGTGCATCGTTGTTCGAAAGAGACGGTTGTTCTCAGTATCTTTGTATCAAAAACAAAATTAAGATAGTAAAAAAAAAGACTCTGAGAATTACCGCCTCAAGATATCATAGTTTCCATCCTGGCACTCTTTTTCTCCTTCTTTCTTAATTCGTAGATCCTTCTTTTTCGCAATAATGTCTTACTAATCGGGGATTGGGAATAGATAAAGCAGAACTAGGGCGGATAGGAATGTGGCAAAAAGCATCGCGGATAGAACGTGGTCTTGAATCGTACGGAGTGAATCTGCGGCCGGCTCTTCGGTGCCATTCTCTCCCTCATCGCGAACAAGGAGAAGAGCAGTGACGAGACGCGCCAAAGCCTCCAGCCCGTACGCGTCCATGTAACCCACGTCCATGATTGCGTCCGCGTCCAATAACACCTCCTGCAACACCAACAACGATACTACTCAGTCCCAGTTTCTATTTTACCGCACTGCGAGAACATTTCTCACGTGGCCTTAAAACGCATATTTCTGTCCTCTCCGAGGAAGGCCCTACTTTTGTATCAATGAGAAAAGAAGCGTTCCTCGGGGGATAGCCGTTCTGTTACACTTCGACGTATCACTATGTGATAAAAGGAAATCGTTTGTCTTCGCAAAAGAACTTTTGATAGAGTTAATTTATTTGATTCTGATTTTCTTTAATGAAGTTTTACTTTACAATGCTTGTTAAAGTCGATTGTAATAAATTTATTCGTTCCTTAATGATTAAAAGTTCCATCTAGAAAACAATCAAGGGAGGAAGAATGGACAGGAAAAAGCAACAGTAACATAGTAATATTTTATATAATGATTAATGAAGAATTATTTGGATTGTTTGTATAGTTTAGGATAGTTAGTCCATGGATATTAATCGGTAAGATATTCGGATGATGGCAGGAAAGGTGAGAACCCGAAGTACAGACTATTCCCCGAAGAAGCAACACAAAAGCGAATTGAAATCTATAGGCACATGCAACTAAAGCTTCTTCGCTAATTCATTTTTCTTCTTTTCTGCACTTATATTTTTATAGTTATACCGTACGTTTTCATAAAATTGGTTTGCAATTCGCTAAAAATCAGTTCGAATTCGGGGACTGACTAGTAGTCGTTGAAAGTGTCATCGAGAAGTGAGACGGCTAGACTGCCGAAGCGTTAGTCACGATGTACACAAACATTCGGTTACGAATAATATGCGATAAATTTTTCCGCCCGACTGTTCACCAAGTATATTCGATAGATCTGGTCTAAGGATAACGCTCGATGAGAATATCTGGTAATTGTGCTTCGTAAAGAGTTAAATTTTCGCACTAAGTCTCGTAACCAGTTTTACATTCTACTCTTCAACGAAGCACGCACGGTCGATCAAGTACTATCATGATTCTCTTACCACATCACCATTGTTAAAGAAAAATTAGAAACACATCGGATTAATTTATTTGGTATGGAAGTATCCACCCTATCAACATGACATTATACAATACACTAATGATGACAGCGTGTCTCATGCATGTGTAGTATACTCTGAGCGAAAGAGAAGCACAAACTTCTTTGAAATTATTTAACAAGAAGAATGTTTCTTACCTCATCAACGCCAATCTTCCGACACGCCTCGAGGAAGTTGTCAACGTTACGCCTGCATCGTGCCATTGTCAGCTTAGGCTAAAAAAACAAGTTAAATCAGTCTATTGATATATGGAATATATCACAAAATGGCGAAAAAATACTCACTACAGCGGGAGAAGGAACATGTATACTAGCAACTGATCGCGGTCTAACGTGGTTCGCCAGGTGACAAAGAACAACACCATCCGTTAACGCTGGTGCAAGATCCTCTGGCAATGCCATCTTCAATCTCGTCTCTATGTGCTATTATAAATATATTCTTGATTATATTACAAAGTTGCTTTTCATAAGTAATTACAGTTGTTTTTCGTTATGATGCTTACATTTCGTAGTTGTTCGATGAGATCAGCCTCTTCTTTGGCACGTTCAAACTCTCTCCTCATAGTAAAGGAATACTTTTCAGGCACATTACTATTCCATGTGACGGATCGCGGGGATTTCGGACTGCCGCCGTTTCTACTGGGACTGTTGTTGCCTAATAAACATACGCATACTATAAGCATATTGTGTAATCAAAGTCCTCTCTTACACTGCATAAAATGTATAAGAGAAATTTTTGTAAAATATAAAATTGCTCTTATACATCAACTGCAAGTGTATTTATCTACAAACAAATTTATAATTTTCTTTTTGATTTTGTTTAATTTAAATAATTACCTTCAACGTAACCAACAGCAGTTTTCACCAATCTGGGCGCATGCGCTGGACTCGTATTTGTGGAGAGAATACTACTCGAAGTTTTAATAGGCGAACTAGGTTTTTTATAAGGTTGCTCAAGATATTTTCCGTTCTTATTGTTGTAATCATTATTACTACCGTTGATAATTGGCGTGCTTTGGTAGTTTATTCGCGACGGAGTAACTTTCTGCACTGGCCTCTTTAATGCATTATCTTCGTTGAAGATTTGCTTGCCAGTTAGAGCAATGGTTTCTTTATTGTTGCCCATGTCGGTTTCGTTTTGCGTCTCGTTACCTGGAGGCGTCACTTGCTCACGAGGTCTGTATACGCTTAAACCTTCATTAGCTCTCTGCTGCTTCAGAGCTTCTTTGTATTCCCTAAGAATAAAATAGTTTATATCAAAGCGAACACTGTCGTAGATTGCGTAAGAACATGATATGAAACTTTCACGAATGTTATTTGATGATCCTTGGCGAGTATGAATGATTGCAAGATTGTATGAATGAAGCAAGACAATGTATAAAATACCGAAAGCATTATTACAATCTCACAATGTATTAATCCTCTAATTTGTAATACTTTAGAAATAATTTTTATTGATTAGATATTCCTCAGAAGACGATTAATTATATCATATTTTATATATCTGTATGTAAATAGCATGTACATTTTATATACACATTCTTTTTTCTTAAACCTTCGTTGCCACTCTATATCGTTTTATCACGTACTTACCATACAGATACTGTGTAAAAATATTGCATAAAAATAAACATGTAACAAATTTTTTTCAATTAAAACGTCAGACATTAAGAAATATAATACGATACAAACAAATGTATATATCTTTATTAATAAAAAGTTATAACATATAAATTGAAAGAAACCTCGAGTGTGCCATAATGAGAGTGGTACCGAAGAGTTAAATATTTAATTACAATCACAAATGCCCGTTATTTGCATACTGAAGAGGATTGATACGATAAAGTCAATCGTAGTTGCTCAACGCATGTAATACGTCACAGCATTACCAGGCGCGCCTACCATAGTCATACGAATGAGTAAATGAGTAACGCAAACGTGATAACATGAGATAAATTCGGACGGACAAGGGCTTTTGTTGGTACGGTCCAAAGCAAAGTTACCTGTACGTCTGTATATGATTGAACGGCCTCTTATCGTCGCCGTTCACCATTGCAGTGGTACCGGTTGCAGTTTGGAGCGGGTGTACTGATTGCTGTGCGGATGATATCTGCTGCGATTGACTCGTCAAATGCGTGGACTCCAGATGGCTGTAAAAAGGGATTGCCAGCCACGATAATGCACATGCACGCATGCAAAAATATACGTATATGTATATGTATGTAAACTACCGTGACAATTTGTATCACAATATCAATTGCAAACATCGAGGGAACGCGCTCGTTTGTTTCGAGGGAAAGCACGCGGATCGGGTAATTGACCCATTGATCATCTTAGCGAAAGGCTTCACTCACCCAGGTGGCGTAATCGATGTGTGATGAAGGCCAGAGATCATTGGTCTTCTAATGTCTGCCCCATTCTCAGAGGTGCTCCTCTCTAATCTTCTCTTTTCCAGTTGATCGTGCAGTACCATCGCCTGCAAGAGATTTCGTATAAGAACGTGAATTATAACTTTTGCTACTTCGTAAGACATCTTAATAATTAAACAGGAATAGTTTTAAATTTAATATTAATATAATAAATTAAGTTAATAATATAATATATTAAGTTTAATATTAATTTAACTTTGTCTTTTCACTTTTTTATCTTGGAATTAAAAATCTTTATCTCTAGATAAGAAATAATGTTTTCAATTAGCGCTCTTAATTAACGTTATATTTTATCACGAAATTATGTTTTGTCAATCACTTTAATTACAGATTTTAATTATAGATTTCAAAATAAATTCTTGTTAAAGGAAGTTCAGCCTTCAATGTATAAAAGAAACAGTAAATATGAGAAAGCGATTTCGCCATACATTAAGTATATACGAACATTTACTATTGATGCAGCATGCATTCGTAATTTTGAAACGTCGTCGTAAAAATGATGTTTTATTGGGTCAAGGCTTTATAACGAGATTTGAGTGACAGCCAACAACGGTTTGTCGACTACTATCATTATCGTAGCTCGACTTGAGATCTATTCGGCAGCTAAATATAGCGGTTATGTCATCCTTTAAATTCCGTACTACAGTTTATTGCTTAAACGTTTATTTTAGACAGAAATCTACATCGTGCGATTAGCTCTTGATAATAATAACAAATATATTTTTTCCATTATCTTAATTATCAGAACTTAATCAGTCTATGCTACTATCTTTTATAGAAATCTGACTTCTCCAGTTGTCATAAAAGTTAATTACTTTGAGATATTATAATTTCTAGTTTTAAATCATTCGTATGAATCAAAATCAACAAATACAGCAATCGACATTTGCTGAATATAAAAAGTAGAGAAGTGGAAATATTAAAAAACAATATTATTATTAATAAAATTTAAGAAATTGTACGTCAATATTTTTTTCATAACTTAAATTTTTTCTTGAAATAATCAGAATAACGATAACGCTAGAAAATCTTATGTATTAGCCTACCTTGCCCAACTCATCCTCCAGGGACGTGTGCTCCCCGGGTGAAATCGTGCTGGGCGTCGACGTGCCACTGCAAGATCCATTCACGCCTACCTCGTGCGGTAGCGTTATCGAGAGCGGTGAACATTCCTGCCGCCACAAACTGCGAACTTCGCCGTCGTGTACCTGCAAACGGTGGCCAACAGGAGGCATGTAAAATCGTAGATTGTGTGCGTCTTGTGCACTAGTAGAAGTTTATTCATGCACTTTATACAATGATTTATATTAAAAATCAAACGCGAAGTCGCTCGCATTTCTCAGACAAATTTGTTCTTTATATACAATATAATTTATATACAAAAATTGCATAGAAATTTACAGAAAAATGCACAGCCTTGGCTATGGTATAAAGCACTTTCAATTTTTTGCATTTTCTTGGAAAAAAAACGGTAATACTAACAGAAGACTAACGAGGAAGGCTGAAAAAGTATTAAAATTGTTATGAAAATAAATATTTAGTAGTACTTTATACTTATGATCAAGGTTGTATAATAATTTCTCTAACACAATTCTAAAAAGTCATATGAATAAAAGAATTAAAACTTCTAAAAAAGAAGTACCTAGATAAGCAAAAGCATTTGTTCTAAAGCATTTTAAAAATAGGAATCAAAAGTATGTTCTACAATGCTATTGTTTTACTATATACTGTTATATTTTAATAGATACCTCTACTAATATCTAATCCTTTATTTACACAAATAAGTATTTCAACTATGTGCATAAGCAAATGCTGTAATATCCTTATTTATTTCTTACAGCATTTTCTTCGTTAATGAAAGAGTTAAAAGCATTTATTCCATTTGAATTGTATATAATACAATATGGTCATTTATATCCTTCAAAGTTTCCTTCGGAAAAGTAAAAGCGAAAGTGCTTGTGTCTGGATCAAAGATCCGCGGGCAATTCGGCGGCGGACTCGCCGAATAGCTTCGCAAAGAAGTAGCTGTAGAGTGTGTGCAGGAGATGTAGCGATAGCGAAAAGGCCACGAGAGCGACGGTGAAACTAACCGCGCTGTGGATCTCTTGGGACCAACGTTTGTCGACACCGTCGCTGGTGCTGTATCCACTGTCGACGTTGTGTCGTCGATGCGACCTCGTGTCCAACGTCGCATGACCTCTTGCATCCAGAGGTGCCCGCCGCGTTCGACCGCCTCTGGCCCTCTCGTGTTTCGCTGCCTGCCTCTCCAAGTACTTGAAAATGTGCGTTCGCCCGCGAATGCATAGCTGAAACCGGCAGTAAGAACTTTAGCATATGAGACCGGTATTCTCGAAGGAAAGACGTCTCGCGTTTCCTTTGTATCTTGTTGCCTTCCGGCAATGTACAGAATGATATTAAACGTTTTCGAACGGCGAGGTACTGATTCATGAATTCAAATAAAGTCTCGAATGAAGTACGAAGCGAAAGGCATTGGTTTTGTAAGCAGTTCCGTAGACAGTCTGTGATTATAAAACGGCAGTTCAATTGAAGTAACATGACGTACAGTTTTATTAGAAAGAATCTGTCGAGGAAAGAGCGTAGGAATGTGTATTGCGGAAAGAAGATTTGAGCGAAAACACGGACGAATCATGATCGCTAATGCTCACCGAGGCAGGCGGCGAAGTGAGCGGATTGTCGGACAGTTTGAAATCCACCAAGCTTTTCATCTTCCTCATCTCGTTTGGAAGTACAGATATTCGATTACCGCTAATATCCAGCTTCACGAGCCTCAGGTACGTCAGTTCTATATATAAAAATATAATGTAAAAAACTTAATTTTTTGCACTTGATCATCAATCCTGAGATATTAATCTCTTTGACAGACCAATCATAACTAATATCTTTAATTTCTTTCAAATCTCTTTTCATTTTTTTTTAAATTAACTTTTTTTTATTTTGCTTAACGAATAAATAAAAAGATTTATTTAGAATTAATTTATCAAGATTGACTTTCTCTCTTTCGCGAGTGTTGGCTTTGTTAGAATTAATTTACTGAGAGTTACTTTTAAATTCCCAGTAAATTTTTGAGAGAGAGATCTATTTCGCAAATACTTATTGAACAGATTGATTCAATATACACAGATAAATTCAATTATTTCTTAATCGTGATTAAAGCAGCGAGTTTATTCGAGCGTGATAAACATCTGTTGTATATATCGCGATTGCATTAAAAAGGTGGTCCTACCTATAGGCAGGTGCACCAGCAAGTTGCTCCTCAAGTCTAGAGACCGGAGTTGCGCAAGGTCGCCCATTCGAGGTGGAAGACTTGTGATTTCGTTACAACCTGCGTCCAGTTCTGCCAATACTGTCATTCTGCCCAGCTCGTCTGGCAAAGATGCTAATCTGTTGTGTGCGACTAGCAACGTCTGAAGGGGTAGCCTGCATATCTCTCGAGGTAGCGACGTCAATTGGTTTCGACTGTTGAATTATAATATTTTCTTTAAATAAATTCTCGCAAAAATTATATTCGCAAGTTGAAACGGATAATCAATTATAGAAACATCAATTACTTAATTTTAGTAGATTATTTTAACAATTATGAACAATTTGTTCAAAATATTTCAGAAATATTTCAGGAATTAATTTTTTATAATAGATACGGCTTATCAAAAATTATTCGAAATGTGTCTCTTTGAGACAAAAATTGAAATTTTTTTTAATCAAAAGAATTATTTAATGAATAATTATAGTACACTCAATAATTAATTATACAATTATACGTAGTTAATTAATTATTCTTCCAATAACTTTCAAAGTGTTTTAAATTTTTAATTATACTATGCTACGCGCACTCTAGCAGGAGCTTAATGTTATCAACGTCATATGTATTATATAAAATGCCTGTATCTATATCTATATATACTATTGTATCGCGCAATTCAATGTGTGTGTATGTGTGTGTGTGTGTTTTTATGTACCAACCTAAGATCGAGGTAGTTCAAGGATTGGAGCATTACGACGGTTTCCGGGATTATTCTTATGGCATTATGATAAAGATGCAGCTTTTCGAGGAATGAAAATTCTGTGACTTCCTCCGGTAACTCACTGAAACGATTCTTCGAAAGGTCTGTAACAGAAAGCAGATACTCATCTTTATGATGTGCTAAACGATAAAGACATGATCGTCGCAACTTCCGCTATTAAAACGAATGTAACATCAACAGGCGTCGCGTGATTTCAACAGGAAATTAGAACGCTTTATAAATACATAAAAGAGAAAAAAGTAGATTTCGCGCTACTGAAAACTGATTTGCAATTAAAAGCTGTCGTTCGACATCAAACTCCGCATACTCATTAAAACAATTCACCGCATCGTAAAAGCATCGCTCAAGCAATAAACAGCGTCCTTATATTATACGATCGGCCGATAAAACTCGTTGAGGAGTGTAGGTATTATCGAACTGTCTTAATAAGGTACCGATATGTCTCCCATGGCAACAGCTGTATACCTCGGCTAGGGTGATCTTAGGGTGTTGCTGGGGGTTGTTATGAATGGGGCGCGACGGCCACGTGCGCGCAACACAGGCTCGAAACCCAGGAAAAAGACAAGGGTAACTCAGCTACTCCTGGCTTCAAACCTTCTTTCTAATCAATAACAGCCATCCTCGAGACTTGTAGAACCGTTCACGAAAGACGTAGCCAATTCGCATGTCGAATAGTTCCGAAATAGCTATCATTCTTTTAATCCAGATAGCACGTATAAAAATGTCGCAAGCGTGTTTCAATTACGCACATAGTCATATGAGATGTTATGAAATTGATATTTTACCTAGATTATTTGGTAACTATATAATAATTGTTACTCCTTCTATATGTAAAATTTTTGTTTATTAAAATTTGACATAAAGTATTAAATTTAATCTTTCCTTAGTTTTAAATATTTTTTTCTTAGACATATATATTTTTAACATCAATGTAGAGTGAAGGGCGCGGTCATTACGACACTTCTGCATGTACTTGACATTTAAATGACGGTCATAATAGTTAAAGGTCTTCTAATACAAAAGCCTTGATCTTAATATACGACGTCAACAGAATAATTGAAACGATACAACAGACAATGTTTTATGAAGACATTTAGTATTATATAATTTGTGTTCATCTTTGTTCTTTTTCTTTGTGGTGGTAGTGTATAACGGGGAGATTAATTTACGGAAATTTTCCAAATATACCCGAGCCTGTAGGGAGAAAATTAGATTCTATCGAATTCGTCGAACGATCAAACGGAAATTGGCAATCGTCGCGTGCGAAAGATACGCGATTTCCTCTGACGACATCGAGAGTTAAGTTCGGCAATTTTCGTCGTTCGTCATTTTTATAATATAAATAAAGAGCATTTGTTCACATAAATTTTTATTGTATTACGGTGAATTTAAAAATATCAATTCAAGTAATAATTACTTCTACATTTATATAAAATAAAATATTCAATAACTATAATAACAAGTAGAACAATATATTCATTCATACAAATTGATAATATTAGGTTTATTTATTTTTAAGTTTTCTGTCTTTCTTCTCTATCATTTCTCTCTTGTTGATATATACGTAATTAGTGGAATCGCAGACTGTAATAACTCAATCTTGCAAATCGCGCTCGTAATTCACTACAGCATAAGACAATTCGTCTTCATTCGTCGAAAAATATAGCAATTTACGCGGTTACAACCCGAGGGTGTGTCTTGACGAGCGTAACTTCGTTAATCGATCTCGAGTCTTACACGCTGCGCGAACTAAGCGTATTGAAACCGGAGCAATTTAGATGGGGAAGAAATTCGAGGCGTGAATGGGGATGCATGAATAGGGATGCTTATAACACTTTCATCTCATGGCAAAATATTTGACTTTTTATTTTTATTTTTTTATTCAACGCTCAATGCTGCAAATCGATATTTTAATAAAAAATATCGACACAACCGAAATGTTGGACAATATTAAATAAATAAAATCATTATTATGTAAAAATAATATGTTATTTTTATTTATGTTCGGGAATTGATTATCGTAAAGTCGACTTTCCTTTCGATTGTTAATCTGAAGAAATTGTATTGAAAGAACTTTCAACACTAAAAATATTTTTAAAAGAATTTTTTTTTTTATTTAAATACTTGCAGTATTACAATTTGTTGAAGAATAAATATTTTTTATCCAAATAAAAGTCTGGTCATTTCTAAGTCTGGTAGAATACGGTCGATGTCCGTGGCGCAAGGGCGTCGGCCTGTCGGACGAAGACGGGGCTGGAACCCCTTACCAACCCCATGAACAACTCCCACGCAATATTGGATTCTCTCTCGACACCGTCTCTTTGTGCAAAGTGGCAAAATTTTGCGGCGAACAGTCGCATCGTCGACATAATAGATATGGTGGTCCTCCGTTGTAGAATCCATTCCAACAACGTATAACATGTCATCATAATTCATATATAGATTTAAAGATGTATGTTCCTTTTCCTCTAGAGTTCTCCCTTTCGCGAGACAAAATTGTATCGGTGAAAGCATGACAGGCAGTATCAAGGAATACCGACTCTCGTCTCTGAATATTCTTTGATGTTCGTTAATGCGGTAGAAATCGACAAAAAATCTATGCTTCTATTCTTCAAGTTTTACTTACATTTTTTAAAAGTATTATTTGAAGAAAAGTCGGATAATGACTACTTTGTTTTTAGACAATATTTTTTAAACAAAAGCTAAAAACAAAACTTCAGGAACAAAATACAAACTAGAAAGTGTCTACTATCAGATAATATAGCAGTTTTTATAATACCGTTTCTAATTTTGCTAAAGTTAATAATAATAAACTTTGTCGTAAGATAAGCAAAAATGAGCGTCTGATAAAATGGGCTCTAAAATTAACACAATAGATAGTAAATCACGTATTTCTGTTTTTTTTTCCTTTCATAGAAGTCACTTATAAAATACAAGTGAATGAATGTAAGATTTTTTAGAACCTTTTTACTTCAATAAAACGTATTTTGTTGATTTACATATATGCGTACTGTTCCGCAAGACGCAAATATGTAACGCAAGTATATGTAAGTTCCTTTTTTTGAAAGTTTTTGTACAAATACATGATTGCCTTCAGCTCTAATAGGACTATTTGACATTATAATGCAATTTACGCTGCACTCCTATTTTATATATTTAAAATTATATTACAAAAAAAATAAAAAATACATTAATAAAATGATTTAGGAAACTACAAATATATAAAATGATGTAATATTAATATATAGTAGAAGCTATTATTATTTGAACTATGCAAAGAAAAGTAAGAATTTTATTTTCGCATTTGTAGAATTTCTTTTTAATTGATTTTGTACAAAAATAAGTCACAAATATATGAATTATGAGTTTTTACTTCTTTAGTTATATAAACAGATTATGTCTTTATCAATATTAATAAACTACAATAATTAGTTTCCAAGAAATAAAGAGGTGTCTTTTTAGGAATTCTATCTCAGTATCAGCGACTTTCTTCTATCAAATGATTAAATTTCAATTGTAAAACATGAAATACTTTATTTATTTAATTACAAAGCTGTGCGATTTAAAGAGAAAAATCTAATCATATACTTATCTTCTTTTTATCTAAAGATGGCTTTTTTCTTGCTGTTTTATTTTTCAAGGTATAT